AGCACCAGCTGCAGCGGAGATGCGGAGCGCGGCCCCAGGGGCGCTCGGGCAGCCGAGGCGCAGTCGGCTGAGCCACCGCAGCGGTTCTTGGTGGAGGAGGCCTTGGGCTTACCCTGCGCCGCGCTGGGCTCCCTCTGGGACTGAAGGCTGGCAGAGGTTTACAGGTCAAGCCTCGGCACCTGCAGGCCCTGGCACCAGGTCGTGGGAGCGCTGGGCAGTGCCGGGTCTCACTGCACGATGAGGCTTCTTGCCTTTCACGGCTCTCTTGCGTAGAAGAGCCTTGGCGTACCCAGTAAAGATAATTCCTGTGGCTCCTGGCATCGCCTCTTTATTACATGGTGTTGGAAGGAAGGGGAAGCTCTGCTGTTTTGTTAATGAAGCCACCGCTCCAGTTTCTTACAGGTTCTTAAACCTGATGCGAACTGTGCTGGCAATGCAGGGAACGCCGTCAGATTTAGCTCGTTTTCACATCCTTCCCCAAGCGGGAGAACAGGGTTTGTTGACACAGGGGTTTTGTTTTGCTTAATTTCAACCCTGCCTTTGCTGAGCACAAGGGAAGGCAAAGGCAAGGGAATTCACCCGCAACTGCCCCCAAACAAACCTCCCATCTCCAAACAATGGAGAATTCTGCTCTGGATGCAAACTTGGGTCCTAAAACTGCTGCCTGAGGAGCAGACCCTGCAGATCGTGTCCTGGGGGATCGACTGTATCCCCGCAGAGAGCAGAGAGGTGGGGAATCTAGCCACAGACTTTATTGCTGGAAGGACTTTGTTGCCATGGGGCCTCTTGAAAGCCACACACGCAAATGTGGCTGAGCTGAGGTGGGATCAGGTTCTTGGAAGCCAGCCTGAGAATAACAGGCAGGAATACGGCTGGCGTGTGTGAGCGCGCAGGGAGCTTTCAGCAATTTCAGATGCTGCTCTGTGTCTATCTTTAAAAATCAGTACATTTTCTGATTAAAAATAAAACGCTACGCGTCATGACTCCGGCAATGCGGGCTGGGCTGTTGTGGTATTTATTTTTAAAGAGAACAATATAGCAGCTGAGTTATTGTGACACCTCCTGCATATTGTGCAGTAGCTTTTTCACTTCAACATCTCCATATTAGTGAAAACTGTGACAGCTCCATGCCAAGGATTATTAATAGTGCAGGCAGGCTTTATGTCCCTGCAGAATAAGGGTTGGAAAGCAGGGTAGACAGTCTTCCCCCAGCTGATCCTGGTTCCCTTTGCACATGTACAGAAGCTGAGCCACCCTGGCTCGGGCTTTGCACAAGGGCAGAGATGCAGTTTGTAACGGGCGAGTGCAGGAGAGCGGACGAGGTCACCGCTGCCTCCTTGCAAAGCGAAGGCCTGCCTCTCTGGTGAGCTCTACCTTCAGTGGGAGGCACTGGAGCAAGTCTGGAGCGTGTCTCATGTTCCCTGCCAGGCTTGTCACCTTGCTGGTGGGGGAAGGAAGGGACGGTGGGATGTGATTCAGGTATGCAGTGCCTGGGTTGAGAGCTTTGCCATCCCTGGCCCCCAGCACAGAACGGACTGGCCTTGCAGGTAATAGTCCCCACTCCATTATGGGAACGAGGTATCTATCATAGGGGTGATTACGTTAAGTGCAGAAGAAGCGTGCAGCATGCAAATGCCATACTTTAAATCACGTGTTGAAAATCAGGGGCCGTGGGCTCTCTCCTGCGCTCTGCAGTGGGCGTGCTGGTGCAAGGCCCGCCACTGTGAGCCCACACGTGTGGCCACCGAGAAGCTCCTGGGCTGGGCCAGCTCATCTCCCAGGGAGCACCGGAGCTTGAGATCCTCTTGCATGGCTGCTGCTTGCAAGGTTTGCACCATTCAGACCGCTCCTGCTTCGTTTGCAGGAGGGCTCCCCTGTTGTTCTAAGAAGTTACTCCTTTTAGTTAAAAAAATCCTTTGAGCACCTGCGTGGGTCGGGAGGCTCATGTTTGCTGCTAGTTTGGAAGAACAGGTTATGTGTATTCCTGCAGCAGCTAAAGACCTAAACCACAATGTCCACTGCCCTGTGCAACACGTTGTACATGCACATCAGCAGAGATGGCCCCTAAACACCCAGCAGGTTGTTTCTCCCATTTTACAGACTCTGCCCACGTTAGAGGTGCTAAAGGATGATCTGGTGTGCTGGGCCTGCAGAGCAGTTGCTGTTCGTTAGTATCTTCCCATCCAAAATATTGCAGGGGCTGGTCATGATGTGGAGCAGGACAAATTTTGGGAAGAGGTCTCCAGAGTGAATGTCTTGCCTCATCAGT